CAAACACAGAGCATTGTCTTCTTTCCGAAGCGATTTGGCCTTGCAGTCGATGTTGATGGTTGACCTGGACCAACCCATGGTTTTGTGCGTTTGGGATTCTCAAAATAAATCCACTTTTCATCGCCAGTCACAATTCGATGCAAAAAAGACTTTCGTGCCGTTGAAGCAACATTTTACTGATGACTTTTTGGTTTTCCATTTGTCTTTCGTTCAGTTGATGTGGGTGGCACCCATTTTCCTTCCTTTAAAATCTTTCCCATTGCTTGTAAACGATTGGAAATTGTTTGCTGAGCAACGTTTAATCTTTCTGCACGCTGTTTTTGAGTTTGACAAGCATCTTCATCCAATTATGCTTGTAATTGTTGGTCTTCAAACTTTTTCAGTTGACCTGGATGTTCTTTGTCTTTCACATCGAAATCCTCACTTTTAAATCATTTAAACCAGCGTTCACAAGTATCTTGAGAAGGAGCATGGTCACCATAAGCTTCCCGAAGTAGAAGATAACTTTCAACAGCACTTTTCTTCAAAATAAAGTAATGAATTAAAACTTCCCACAAATGCTCTTTTTTGGCACGAAATTTGACATTCGTAAGCGTAAAAATATCTATGATGTTAACACCTTCAGCAAATTTGACATACGAAGTTTTGAAGCTTGTTGTCAATACAAAATAGCATACATATCAGATCACATATATATCACCATAGGTGTAACTCCATCTATTGAAAAAAAATCTGCATTATTAACCGGTACATCTGGTAGACGGCACCCCAGAGTGAGCGACACGCAGCGCCCCCAGGCACAGGCCCTCCTTACAGAGGAAGTGGGATTACTCTCACGTACGTAAGAATGTGGGCGCACTTCGTTGAGAGTGTTGGGGTCCTGCTGCCATTTGTTCTTTCTGGTTTTCAAGGCACCGAGAAGCTCCCCACTCCCTCCCTGCACCTCGTGTCCCCTGAGACCGGCTTTGGAAGAGCACGAAGTGCCTGCTTTGCTGCGGCTTCAGTGCTGCTCTGTGAGGCTGTCCGCTCGCAGCTGTGCCCAGACCTGCTCCTCGGGAAATCTGGATCATGTGGTTCCTGCAGCTGGGCTGGCCCAGCTCGCACCGCACCTGCCCCTGGGTCCGCGGCGCTGGTGTCGGCTCTCATTCATCTCCTCTGCTCCTCCTGTCCTGGAGTCAGATGGGGATCGGGTCAGCTTTTCAGCAGAAATTAGCCACCAAACCCTTTACAAGTGAAATGCTATTAAAATATCATAACAGCCCAGCCAGCGTGGCTCAGTGGTTGAGCGTTGACCTGTGAACCAGGAGGTCACAGTTCAATTCCCAGTCAGGGCACATATCCAGGTTGTGGGCTCCATCCCCAGAGTGGGGTGATGCAGGAAGCATCCAATCAGTGATTCTCAAAATTGATGTTTCTATCTCTCTCTCCCTCTCCCTTCCTCTCTGAAAGCAATCTATAATAATAAAAGCATAATATGCTAATTAGACCGGACATCTTTCCGGACGAAGCCAGGACTGCAAGGGAAGCCCCGGTCCCGGGTGCCAGAGGGAAGCCGGTGCCGGCAGCCAGGGGAAGGAAGGCCTACTCTTGCACGAATTTCATGCATCGGGCCTCTAGTGAAAATATAAAAGAAAACAAACATAACAGTATTTTCACAAAGTGTGGTGGTTGCCTTCCCAGATGAACATGAGTCAGGTCCACACTTGTCCGTCCACGTGGGACTCTGAGGTTTGTTGTCATGGCCTTTTATGTACACAGTTCAGCATCTGCCTGGTTTGCATTTATGTTGTTTACTTTCCTCTGATCTCAACCCTGCAAAGCCCTGAGTCAGGGCTGTGGGTCGTGCAGTGCCCAGGCCCCGCCCCCGCCCCACGGGGAGTGGGACACACGCTCACTGTTGACACCGGCAGACACTTTCCAGCACTGGGCTGGAGCAGGGGACGAGGTGAAGAGACATCACCTTGCTTAGGAGGGGTTCAGGGGCTGGGCAGACGCACATACACAGGTGGTCAGCTGACATTGTGTATCGTGATCCACGTTGTGTGGGGAATGAGACAGAGCTGGGGGTACGGACATCTGGAAGGTGTGGCCCTGGCCCTTACACAGGTGGGCACAGTGATGTGGGAACGAGAACGAGAAAGCTCTGGAAACATCCCTAGGGCACACCGAGCCAGCTGTGTGCGGGGCAGCCGGGGGGGGGGGGGGTGGCTGCCAGGTGGGGGCCGGAGGGGCTCAGCGTGTTGGTGAGAAATGAAAAGGGAGGGGGAGGCACGTCCCAGGTCGGGGCTCGCGTGTGGGACTGACATTGCTGGAGCCTCAGGGTGAAGGGCACCCAGCGAGACGAATGCGGGCCGTGCTGGGCAGGGGCCGCTGCCTGGGGCCGCGAGCCTGACCACCGGCAGCTCGGGTGATGGTTCCCTCCTCCAGCGGCACCGCATGTGCACCGCGCGGGCCAGCGGCCTCCGTCCCGTTCCAGCCCCAGCCCCGAGCCCTGCAGTTGTCCGGGCCCTCAGCGCGGATGGGAACATGGGGTTTCCCACTTTCGGTGTCTCAGTGAGTGGCCAGGAAGGTCCGGGAAGCAGCCTCCGGCTTCTAGCATTGAGAGGAGAGGTTAGCACGGGAACTCCAGGCTCACGGGCGTCTTCCGGCCTAAATCCCCCCTTTCTCACGTTGGCTCCTCCCGTCGGGTCTCGCGGCCGCTGCCTCTGCTCCCCGCGAGGAGCTGGGCGGTGCTGGCTGGCCCTGCGTGCGCAGTGAGGCTTGTTCAGGGCACGGGCCGGCTGGAAGAGCTTCCTCCGGACTCCCAGTCTTCTTCTGGTGATTGTGGGAGAGGGAGAAATTCACATTTAGGTTTCATGCGTTGGAATGTTTTCTGGCTCCAGGAGGAAAACGTAGCTTATCAAGGACCGGGGCGCTGCGCCAGGGTGCCAGGTCGGTGGCGCGAGAACGTTCCCCCGGGGTGAGTAATGAGAGCGGCAGCCTCGGCCCCGCACTCCGGGCCTGGCACCTGGGAAGGGCCGCCCTCACACTCGATGGTTTCGGTGCCACACGCCCGGATGGCCGTCCCGCAGCGCGTGTCTGCGGGCCCGGGTGTGCGGCCAGGCCCCTCCTGCAGGAGCCGCGATTAGGAGCGCGGTGCCAGGAAGGCCGCTCGGTGGGGGGCAGCTCGGGTGTGTCAGGAACCAAGATGAGCGACCTTTCAGCCCCCAGAAAACGTCCCGAACATAAAACTTCTCGTGTTTTCTACCTCACCTTTGTCTGACTTCAGGGACAGGCGCGTCTTTTACTATTTCCCGTGAGGCTTTTGAACCACTTTCTTCCCCAAATCCTTCGAGCGGGAACCACAGGCTGTGCGTGGTCAGGGCCACAGGCTGTGCGTGGAGCCTTCCCTGGCTCCTGCGTCAGGGCCACAGGCTGTGCGTGGAGCCTTCCCTGGCTCCTGCGTCAGGGCCACAGGCTGTGCGTGGGGCCTTCCTTGGCTCCTGCGTCAGGGCCACAGGCTGTGCGTGGAGCCTTCCCTGGCTCCTGCGTCAGGGCTACAGGCTGTGCGTGGAGCCTTCCCTGGCTCCTGCGTCAGGGCCACAGGCTGTGCGTGGAGCCTTCCTTGGCTCCTGCGTCAGGGCCACAGGCTGTGCGTGGGGCCTTCCCTGGCTCCTGCGTCAGGGCCACAGGCTGTGCGTGGAGCCTTCCCTGGCTCCTGCGTCAGGGCCACAGGCTGTGCGTGGGGCCTTCCTTGGCTCCTGCGTCAGGGCCACAGGCTGTGCGTGGGGCCTTCCCTGGCTCCTGCGTCAGGGCCACAGGCTGTGCGTGGGGCCTTCCCTGGCTCCTGCGTCAGGGCCACAGGCTGTGCCTGCATCGTTGGGGCCACAGGCTGTGTGTGGAGCCTTCCCTGGCTCCTGCGTCAGGGCCACAGGCTGTGCCTGCATCGTTGGGGCCACAGGCTGTGCGTGGAGCCTTTCCTGGCTCCTGCGTCAGGGCCACAGGCTGTGCGTGGGGCCTTCCCTGGCTCCTGCGTCAGAGCCACAGGCTGTGCCTGCGTGGTCAGGGCCACAGGCTCTGCCTGCATCGTTGGGGCCACAGGCTGTGCGTGGAGCCTTCCCTGGCTCCTGCGTCAGGGCAAAGGGGCTGCAACCAGGACAGGTCTGGCACCTTGTGGGACACACGTGCCTTAGTCATGGCCTCGGAGACGCTGGCCTGGGAGCCTCTGCCACTGGACAGGCCTGTTTCCCTGCTGCTGCCCAGGCAGGGGCAGGAGGCGCTCTTCGCGAGGAAAGTGTTTATCCCTCTCCGCAGCCTTGTTCCCTCTGGACCGACAGGGGGGCCGGGCCCCCGGTTCCTGGCAGGTCCTGTGTGTCCCTGGATCCAACGTGGAGATGTCCCGACGGCAGCATCTCTCCAGGCTCACAGGCACCGAGAGCTTGTCTGCTGTGAGGACTTCGTCACATCATGTAAAGTTAGGGGGCGGCGAGGCGGGGAGGGGGTCTCTTTCCCGAGGGCACGAGCATTCAAACCGAAAGCACGCCCCTGAGGTTCCTCGCTTCACCCGTCAGCGGGAGTGAGGGAATCCCACGCGCGCCTAGGAAACCATGCTTGTTCCTCTGCGGGCTTTCCTCGGGAAAGGCGGTTTCCTGTCTGGTTCGGTAACGCCCTGATCCTTTCCCTGGTGGCTCTAACCGTTACCTGTGCATGCGTGCGTGCATGTATGTGAGTGTGCGTGAGTGCACACACTGGTGTTCTTACACTTCAGGAGTGGCTGCTCTGCGCCTTTGCTTCTGTGTTCATTCATCAGCACATCCTGCCGTCGCACACTGGACACACGTGTGCATACGTGTGTGCCATGTGGTTGTAAGTGTCTTTCCGCTCTGGAGGCGTAGTTGTAGCACATCCTCAAGAAAAGCATCCGTGAGGCGGTACGGTGCCGCTCCCCGCCCTGCCCCGCAGCCCTCACGGGCGTTCCTGACGCAACACGCGTGTCGCCAGATTCCTTCACTCTGTCCCAGTCCTGACGCAGTGGGTGGTGTACGCCATCCGCAACCTCACCGAGGACAACAGCCAGAACCAGGATCTGATCGCCAAGATGGAGGAGCAGGGGCTGGCGGACGCATCCCTGCTGAAGAAGATGGGATTCGAGGTGGAGAAGAGGGGTGACAAGCTGGTTCTGAAAGCCACCAGCACCCCCCCGCCGGTGAGTATGCTGCAGGGAGGTCCCCCCTCCGGCCCCTCGGACGGCAGGGTTCCGGCCTGGGAGCGGGTGGGAGCGCTGCGCCTCCAGAGTGAAAAGGCGGCCTGACACTCAATTGCCGCCAGTTTCTCAGGCTTTAGGCTGCAGTTTCCATAAGAGTTAAAATGTCAGGCTCATTCTGGGAAGAACTCGGAAGAGCATGTCACCTGTGTGTCTGTGTTTCTGGCCAGAAGGAGACTGCAGAGACGGCTCCTGCTCCCTCGGGCTCTCGCTCCTTTCTGATCACCGGCCAGCGCCCCTCAGAGGCTCTCCCCGTGACTCTTGGAAATGGCTGGTTAGATGCAGTTCTCTTTCTTTCTTCTCAGTGACGGACCCTTCCCCAGGGGCCTGGAGTTTTGGAGTGTGTTTCACGGACGTTTCATCTTCGCAGCGCGTGAAGGTGCAAGTGTTTGAAGGCTCGGCACCGATTCAGGAGCTCGTCATGCTTAGATGCTAGTGTTCCTGTGTTTCCGCGTAAACGTGAGAGTACACGCGTGTTCTGTTGTTTCTGTGCTTTAAACCCCAGCGTCTGCAGCCCGTCCCGGGGGCCACGGACATCTCGGGCCTGGTGCGCTCCCTGGAGGCCGCCGCCTTGGCGGAGACGCGGGGCTGCGGGTCCCATTTGTTCCTTCAGATGCGAGGCAGCCCGTCCCTTTTGTTTCCTCGCCTGTTGGGTTTCCTGAGCGCCGCAGGCAGCTGACGCGGCTCTCACTGTGATTCATTCTCGCCTCTTCTTTCACCCCTTCCGCCTCTCCAAGCACTGACAAGACGCATTTCCAGTTCATTAATTCAAGAGATGCTGAAGAACAGCGCTCGCTCGCTCTCCCTCTGCGCTGGGGCACCGAGCTGCCCTTTGGAATTCCGTGGGGAGTCGGAGAAACGGGGCCATTAACTCTTCTTGCTCTGAACGTCCTAGAGTCAGGCTCCTCAGGTCCATGTGTGAGCGCTGATGCCTCGTTGGCCCTGTGGTGCCTCTGGGCAGGGTCTGCGTTCAAGGGACAGCTGCCCTCGGTGAACCGCAGTCTCCAAAGGCCGTGCCCGGGGTGGCCGTGGCTCCGCTGGGATTGCGCAAGTAGCTTTGGAGAGCCGGAGGCGATTTGATCTGGACCTGTCTTTCCGTCTGTCTGTACCTTCCTCTATGTCAGTGATGGCGAACCTATGACACACGTGTCAGAGGTGACACGCGAACTCATTTTTTGGTTGATTTTTCTTTGTTAAATGGCATTTAAATATATAAAATAAATATAAAAAATATAAGTCTTTGCTTTACTGTGGTTGCAAAGATCAAAAAATGTCTATATGTGACATGGCACCAGAGTTAAGTTAGGGTTTTTCAAAATGCTGACACGCCGAGCTCAGAGGTTCGCCGTCACTGCTCCGTGTTCACTGTGGAGTAGAACTGGGTCAGTGAGCGCCAGCCTGCGACCATCGATCCGGAGCCTCCTCGGGGCCTCGGCTGGGAGGTCACGGCCGTGCGGGAAGCTCACCCTGGTGCTCCAGCCTGTTGCTCAGCTAGAACCCCCGGAGCTTTTGCACATCCTGTTGGACCTTCCAGATCAGAACAGCAGAGCCCAGCAGGCGCGTCCAAACACGCTGCCCCAGATCCCGCGCTCCTGAGTCCTCTGTGCCACACCTGGTCGCTTTGTAAAACAGCCTGAGCATGAAATAAAGGTTGTCCCTGTGCTCTGCGTCCTGTGTCACTCTGAAGCATGTCAGCTTCTAGGATGGGCAATCTGCAAGCAACGTTTTTTTCTCTTGTTTGTGGCATTCCACCACGGGAGAAGCCATTGCAAAATTCTAAATGAAATGCAGAGCCGGCATTCTGGCCCGGGACACAAAGAGTTAAACTCCACTTCTCTGAATGGAAGTGGGGCCAGAAGGGACGCAGCAGGGGTCCTTTCCCTTTAACGAGGCTGCAGTAGACACTTCTGTGCCTCGCTGGCTGTGTGCACACCAGTGCAGCCGCACAGACGTGCCGGTGGAGCCGTGAATAACAAACACGAGCAAGTGAAGGGAGCCCGTGGGAAGACAAGGGGGCGGGGGTCTGTGTGCGCTAATGGGAGGTGGGGGCTCGCAGGGAACCCGCTGGCGGCCGCATTGTGGCTGCGGATGCTCCCGCATTAATTCCCACAGCCGCTGCCTGTCCTCCGCCTGGGACCCGGCGCCTGAGCGCCTTATTTCACACGCTGCTGCCGAGGATTGAATCGCCGCCTCCATCCGTCACTTAGAAGGAGAGAGAGGGAAAGGGGCAGGCAGCCTGTGGAGATGGAGTGGTCACAGCGAGCTGGGTGGCCATATTGCCGCTTTCAAGGGCAAACCGGCGAGGCAGTTCAGGGTTGGCGCTGCAGGCGCGGCTTCTGCCTGGCGTGGAGTCCACATACTTGCAGATGATTTTTAAAAAATCACTGGACGGTGGGTGCTGGTGTTTCAAAAATATTCATTCTTACGATTTTAGTAACATATTCCTGAGTTCGTCATGTGTGTATGAATGTGTGTGTGTAGATCCACATGAATACATCTCACAGGTTTGGGTTTCTGAGGGATGCTAATAGTGAGACGCATCTTCTGTTCAGGAACTTCTGAGTCTAACCACTGGGCTTTGCGAATTACTCAAAGATGTCTGTTTGCAAAATGGGAGATAGAGAAATGATTGCGGTCATTTGGACTACCAATTAGTAAATTTTATTTTTAAAATTTTTTAAAAATATATTTGTATTGGTTTCAGAGAGGAAGGAAAAGGGAGAGAGAGAGAGAAACATCAATGATGAGAGAAAATCATTGATGGGCTGCCTCCTGCACGCCTCAAACTAGGGATCGAGCCCACAACCTGGGCCTGTGCCCTGACTAGGAATCGAACTATGATCTCCTGGTTCATAGGTCGATGCTCAGCCACTGAGCCATGTAGTCAGGCTCAATTACTACATTTTAAATCAAAATTTAAATTTTGTATGTCTATATTTAGCATTCATTATCTTGAAGGCATTGACATACTGCTCTTATAACAACACCTGTGACTTAAATGTCATTTAAGTGTTTTTTTTACTACCTTTTAATTTCTATCCTCAAGTGAAGTAAAGATGCTGGAACAAAAACGCCAGTCTTTGCACGCAGGAGGAGGGCTTTAAAAACATATCTTCTCTCCTTGGTAAGCTCTGCACATGAACCTAAAGGAATCCCCTTGAGACTTAAAATGCAGGGAAGTTGAGGGTGAACCTTAACATTTAAGATTTAACACAAAACCAGTCCTTTGGAGAAGAAAGCCGCCACGGTGCTGTCCAAGGTTCTGATCGGCCCAGCTGCATGGCCGGTGTGTGGGGAAACAGCTAAAACCCCTTCTCTCACATCCAAGCAAGGGATGCGACCATCCCTTCCTCACCAGGCATTCTGTCATGTTTCTCGTTGTGAATGCTCCAGTGGACAGCAGGTACAGCTCTGTGGTTTAGGCAGCACACCGGGGGGTCAGAGAAGGTCAAGGCCAAGGACTTTTCTCAGAATTGTCTGATTTAGAAAAGAGCAACCCGGCCAGCGTGGCTCAGTGGCTGAGCATCGACCTATGAACCAGAAGGTCACAGTTGGATTCCCAGTCGGGGCACGTGCCTGGGTTGCAGGCTCGACCCCCAGTAGGGGCCGTGCAGGAGGCAGCCGATCAATGATTCTCTCTCATTGATGTTTCCATCTCTCCCTCTCCCTTCTCTCTGAAATCAATAAAAACATATTGAAAGAAGGAAAGAGCAGGCTTGGCCTCCAAACATCCCAACAATTGGAGTCAAGCTGCCATGTGTCGTCCCCCCCCCCCCCCCCCACACACACACACACACTCACCATGTTCTGCCCCAGCGAAGGCAGAGGAGGCTGGTCCTGGCCCTGGCCCTGCCCTGGGCTTTCAGCCTGTGTGTGCAGATTACACAAGGGACATGTGACCCTTGTCTTCTCCAGCTTTGCTCTCAAAGGCAATAGAAATGTGATTACATTTCAGTGTTTCATCTTTAAAACTTCCTACCCACATTTTAGGAAGTACTACCAGTCACACACATTCTCCCAGATAAAGAGGGAACACCTCACAACTCACTTTGTGAGGCCCGCGTGACTCCGATAGCAGCACCCAAGAAGAAAGGAGCAGCAAAGGCCCACCCCTCACATGAACATGGACCCAGGCAGCCTACGCACATTATTGGCAAACTGTATCTTAGAGATGCGAGATGGGTATAGCTTTTTTTAAAGCAAACAAACATCACAGCATTAACAGAAAATCATGATCAATTCAGACAAAAGTATGAAAAAATTCAACATCCAACTTGTGCTGTTAATTTTAGAATGAACACATTAGGGCTAGGAGGGAAGTTCCTGATTCTGATGGAGTGTCTCTAAGAACCACAGCAAGTATCAGGCGAGATGAAGAAATGTTGACATGCTCCTCTGACATTAGGAACAGGGCGAGGTCGGTCACAATTCACCTACATTCGACCTTATAGTGGAAAGGTGACCAGGCCAATGAAATACTCCAGAAAAAAAGAGGCGGGAGGGAAATGCTTGGAAAAGCACTCAGACAGACAATGGGCTTGTTTGCGTAGCTAATGCAGAAAAGTCTGGATGTGAAATGTTAGAGTTAATAAATGAATAACAAGGTTACTGGATGCAGGGTACATATACAAAGGTTCGCGGACTTCTACATTCCAGCAACAAAGATTTAGAAAATAAGTTTTAAAATCTAAAATGTATAAGGAAATGCAAAGAGCCAAGAACTGCTGAGACACTGAAAGAACAAGATGGGGATCAAAACTGGTCAAAGCAAGATCAGTACAGAGCGTTGTCCTGGCCCGAGGGCAGAGAGACAGGCCCAAGAAACAGAGCCAGAGACAGACCCTCTGCGCAGACTCTTGGTGTATATTCCCCGGTGCCACTGCTGAGCATGGAGGAGGGTGGTGGTTTCAACAAACCTTCAGGCACCATTGAATACCCTTAGCCCAGTGGTTCTCAACCTCTGGCCCTTTAAATACAGTTCCTCATGCTGTGACCCAACCATAACATTATTTTCGTTGCTACTTCATCACTGTCATGTTGCTACTGTTATGAATCGTCATGTAAATATCTGATATGCAGGATGGTCTTAGGCGACCCCTGTGAAAGGGTCGTTCGACCGCCAAAGAGGTCGCGACCCACAGGTTGAGAACCGCAGCTTTAGAGGCTAAAGGAAACTTGACCCCTACCTTGTATCATATAAAAATATCAATTCCTAGCAGTATTGTGAGTCTGAATATGAAAGCAAAATGCTACCGTTTCTAGGAGATAGGCTGTCTGACAGAGCCCCACAGCCTTAGGGAGGGTAAGATTTCTTAGCTAGGGCACAAAAGCTGACCAGCGGGCCTGGTTGGAAATGAAGAGTCACCAGTAAGGGTGGAAAGGCAGAGGGCGAAGATATTTGAAACATCACTGAGAGAGGGTTCCTATTCCAAATACATCAAAAAGTTGGGAATGGGCGCAAGTCTTGAACAGGCACTTCACACAAAAGACACCAGTAGACACATGAAAAAGCACTTAACCTCATTAGTGATCAAGGAAATGCACGTTAAAACCACAGTGAAAGCATCCGGGTACCGCCAGAATGGCTGATCACCCAGGTCTTACACCCCGGGGGGGGGGGGGGGGGTGAGGGGGTGCCCCGCGTCCTCGGGGTCGCAGGAGCCTGGTTCCCTGCCTTTGGGAAGAGGAAAGGGGAGGGCGGGGTTTCCTTTGGAGGAAGCGGTCCCCGCGCAGTGTCTGTGCTCACATCCTGTTGGTGAGAATTGAATCCTTGGCCACATCTAGTCCCAAGTGAAACTGGACCGTGCGGTTTCCAGTTGGGTGGCCATGTGCCCGCTCAGGGCCAGTGATTCCTGGTCACCGGAAGGAGGGGGAGGGGGCGTGGGGACAGTTCGCTGGATCTGGCACGTCACCCAGAGAGTGGTGAAGGCTACGGGCCCCTCCAGTCTTGTGCAGGCGAGGCTGTGTGGGCAGGGTTTTGGCCTGGGACAATGTTTCGGTCACTCCAACCCAGCGTCCCAGCTCAAGGCAGTCGGGCAGGAGAAAATGCGCCTTTCTGGGGCGGGGGGGGGGGGGGGGGGGGGGTGGAGGCGGGTATCAGCCTTTGAGTTCTACTCAGTCCTTCAACTGATTGGAGGAGGCCGACCCTCGACGGGAGTGCCAGCTGCTTTACTCAGGCCGCCAGCTCATCCACAGTCACCTCTCACACAGCCAGGATCGGGTGTGTGTGCGTGTGTGCGCGTGCGCGCGCATGTGCACGCGTGCGTGTGTGTGTGCTGTGCGTGTGCGCGCGCGCGTGTGTGTGCGTGTGTGTCTGTGTGTGTCTGTGTGCGTGTGTGCGTGTGCGTGTGTGTGTGTGTCTGTGTGTGTGCGTGTGTGCGTGTGCGTGCGTGTGTGTCTCTGTGTGTGTGCGTGTGTGCGTGTGCGTGCGTGTGTGTCTCTGTGTGTGTGCGTGTGTGCGTGTGTGTGCGTGTGTGTCTGTGTGTGTGTGCGTGTGTGCGTGTGTGTGCGTGTGTGTCTGTGTGTGTGCGTGTGTGCGTGTGTGCGTGTGTGTCTGTGTGTGTGTGTGTGCGTGTGTGCGTGTGTGTGCGTGTGTGTCTGTGTGTGTGTGCGTGTGTGCGTGTGTGTGCGTGTGTGTCTGTGTGTGTGTGCGTGTGTGCGTG